CTCCAATCATCTGTCCAAACTAGTCTACAGCTAGCTGAGTATTCTTGCAAGAGCGAATCCTCGTGCGTTGCTTCAGGTTTTCTTTCGATATCATTAACAATGGGAATCACTTACTCATCCTCATCTGTTACATGAACGGTGATCGTATGCGTGGTGAATAGCGTTCTATTCGATCGCGGATTACCATCTTCAGCCGTTATGAGCACATGATGTATTCGTTGACTGAAAGAAACAGCGGATAAAAACTGCCTGCCTGAATGCTAAAGTGAGCTAAGAATGACCAGTGGAAATTATAAGACTGAAAATAGATGAAAAATATTGCGTCGGCCCATAAGTAATGGCGTTTTTTCCCACTCGAAATATCGCGCTGTAGAAGAAAAGTTTTGCCATTGAGTTTTATACCATTTTGCAGAGAATTCCTTGCCCTACACGATAGTATTCTTAGTTTTCTTCAAGTTTCTCTTTCCACTAATATTTTTGTGATAAAAATGGAGTGTCAGGTCGACGAAACTGCCTTCGACAGCCTCTCATTTATAATTCTAGTCAGAAAGCTGAAGCCGCATGGTCAGCTGCTAAGTATATGGCTGAAAGGCTACGTCTCTTAGGAATGCTAATAATACTTTAAGTGATTCGAAGATTTCAGTTTCGACCTCACAGACAAGCATCGAACCTAATGCCCTATTCTGTCCAGCTGAGAGCTTACGAATTACCTTATTACTGAGAATCATGCCAAAGATTGAGGGATCGTTAGAGGTCATAGAATGCTTCCTTATCATTATCAAGCATCACCTTCACTTGAGTGGAGAACTTCAAAACTTAGTGGATGGGTTCCGCAGGCAAGATGGCCCCCCACGCGATGCTCTTTTACAAGGTCCGAATTCCCACCACTTGATACCTTGAACTTCAAGCTGTCATAAGACGCATCTTTCATTGTCATATATGCCACAAGATTTGAGCTTCTTCTGTAGATTAAGAGCCGAGATACAATTCAAAAAGTAGTTGTCGAAAACTCATTTTGGGTCGACCCGAATTTTCCTTTTAATGAAATAAAAATTGGCGGAAATCATGAAACAGTAGGGAGGTAACCACCCTATCTTATAGAGCAGGAAATTATCTATCAAACATTGTAGAACATATTGGGAACAATTGTCGTTTTTCATATAAACTTGTATGACAGAAAAACGCCATTACTCATGGGCCAACCCAACATTTCAAAAGCTGACGAAGCAGTGGGGGTGGAGCTTAGTGCTCTTCGTACAACGATTACTTTGAGACGGTACTTCGTGCCGAAATGTGCAGCCCCACAAAGCATCACAATATTGGTCAGTGAAAGAACTATTTTTTTCTTTGCAAATCATTCATTCGCTCCCTTTAGCGGGTATGGCCCGATTGCAAATCCTCAATAAGTCGTGAGAGGAACGATAAGAAACCGTGAGAAAGTCAGTTGTTTCAGTTGCTAGCAAGGGAGGTCGCATATGCGTCAACCTCCCCTACATTTCCCCCCCCCCGCACTTAGAAGAACTGCCACATTCTCTCATATCATACTGACAGCTCCTGGCGATGGGGCCAGCCATTCTTTTTCCAAATGCGACCTCTTCGAAATTTTCGTACTCTGTTCGACCTTCCCTTCAATAATCGTCCAATTAGCTCACCGAACATTCTCAAAAATTGGCCGAGCGAAGGCATGTTTGGCAAAACGCTCCCTACGCAGCTATCAGAAGCAGTTTTGTGAGTTGTTCTGCGGCACCACCGACTAGTGGGGGGGGGGGGGGGTTACAAATGGATAAAAAAGGACAAAGTCTCCACCGTTAATCAATTACTTTTGAGATGCTGCACGCATTCTATGTACTTCTACCTGGGAGACGCTCGGAGCGGGAGGTGGGGTGGCCGTTATAAACCAACCGGGGCATCCTCTTCGCCCTGATGGCCATTACCTCTCTCTCGCGCTCTCGCAGTGTATGTCTGGACTGAATAGGTAACTAATAACCGTGCTAAAGCGGATGATTCACTAGGTGTGGAAGCTGTTAGCACATCATTATTCTGCCTACCTTTCAAAGTCGAGTGCTTTGGCTAACCGCAAAGTGGTGGTACATTCCTTGCCACCGCATCTGGCTTTATCAACAGTGAACATGTCGTTCTAAAAAGAGATGATGGTCATTTTCTCTAGAGTTCCAGCTTCGATGCCCAAGTCTGGCATTTCCATTGGAAAATAAATCTGAAGTAATTGAAAATGATCCTCACGTCCACAGAGAATCGAGCCATTGGCCAGAATACCAGTATCGGCATCTCTAGTGCGAAGGTTGGTGACGGCAAAACCGACTGGTGCACTCTGTAATTACTAGTAATATCATGACAAGTGGAATTATTATTTATTTATTGGCAGACGTAGTAAGAAAACGGGGAAAAGAGTTGTACGAAAACGGCATGTAAAAGTTATAGGCGCTCTCCTCATCACCATAAGATTCTCACACATCAATTTCATACAACAAGACTTTTTCTGAGGGTAAAATTGATTTCTATTTCTAAACGCGCGCGCTAAAGGTGGATTAGCGATGAAAGGTGGAAGTACTTTTAGAGCGCACAAAAGTCCTTTAAAATAGTGGTAGTTTTTTGAAGCAATATCTGCCTTTGTCTCCGATTCCCCCAGCCACCATGCGTTTCACAATTATTTTTCTTTGAGAATCATGCCTTGCCAAAAATTGGGAAAATGACCGCGCATCTAGACGGTCTTTGCCCGCGGAGTGCGTCTCAGGACGTTCGAGTTGTAGCTCGGGACAAGTGCGGCGTAGCGTCGTGTGCGCCACATCTAATCGGGAGGTTTCGGATTTTGCGCCAAAATGCTGCAGCAAACCAGCCTAGGAAGTGCTAAATGCTGTGCGCATTCCTCATCCACGACACGAATCATGAGCCCTACGACCACCTTCACCACTAAGTAGGACGGTTCCCCTTTCTCGCATGCAGTCTTCTTGGCTGCGGACGCTAAGGGGTGTAAAGGGGTTTGGCGCGGCGCCGGCCCGTTCCCACCAATCGCGGTTGCTTGCCAGCTTCCACAGTTGGTGGAAAACGGGCTGCCGACGGTGGCGGTGCTCGCGCTGGCATCTGTTGCATTTTCCAAATGCCGTAATCCACGTAACATACATTATCTCAGCGGCTGCAACGCAATCAACCCAGTGGCCTTGACGAACCTTTTTCAGCTGCATTTAGTTCGCCTGTAGAACTTATTTTCCCATTCTTGCGATGAGAAAAAGCTCGCTGACCGATCGAAGAGAGTGGCCTACGTCCACTGAGGAAATTTCGGTCATCACCTTTCTGCTCATATGAAGGGTCTCTTAGCTAGAAAAATAGTCCAAAGGCCGTGTCATAGCACCTAAATACTCTGAAAGTCTATGGGATCAGAATTTCAGAAGACAAGAAAGGATGCTCTACAAGCTCAGGTCTCTCAGGAAAATCTGGGCACTGGGTGCCTTATTCAACCCATTTCATCATTTTCACCCTTCCCATCAATTTGTGTGAATGAGCTCTTGAATGATTTCACAGCTGGGTTCAACTCTTAGATATCTCGCAGTACTACCCTCATATTTCGAACCATGTCTTTTTTCAACTGACCTCTGGAACGCTGATTACCGCCGGTGCGTTGACAAACTGAGGTGCATTGTCATTCACGTCAACCACCTGGATTTCCAACGTTGCTCGTGCTCTTCTCTGGCCTTGGAACACCAGTGAGAACGACTCGCCAGGCGAACCATCTGGCCCATCAATCTGGAACCATTCTCATGTCAGTACTTCATCAGTGAAACTTTGAAC